TTTAACAGAACCCAGGTAACTTGAACTTGGATCTCTCAGAGAAATGTCAGAAAAGACAATTTATGAGAGAAATTACAAATGCTTCAGTGACCTGTAAAAGGAAATTATCACTAAAGCACTAATATGCTGTGAAGGAACGAATAGAAGTTGTGAATGAAAGAAAATTACACACCCCACAAATCCAGACTTGAGGTTTTAATTTGTGACAAAATAATCTGCAAATGCAAGACCCATCTTAGGTAAGCAGTGGTGCTGAGGTGAAGCCCTGCAGAACAGACCCCCTGTGGCTAATAAAGGCAGCAACTGGGCAGGCAGGCATCTGCCTTACCTCTGAGAAGTGAGCTGCAAAGGCTGGGTCATTTACCACCAATTCCACTCTTCTAAAAAGTCAAGAGAAGAAAACAAGCTATTTAAAATAAACGTGTAGAACTTGGTGACGAAGGATTGAAGATACTTAGAACAGATCTTTTCTTAATCCTTTCTGACAATAGTTTCTGGAAAATTGTACTTTGCACATGTATGGTGTTTAATTTCTCTTTTAAAGATGAGTTTGTCTGGCTGTGCTGAGTTTCCAGTGGCATAAGTTGTGATGTTTTAGGGGGAATTCCTTCTTTACTTTGTTTAAATGCATTCCAGATCAGGTGTGAAAATGCAGCATTTGCATAATTGATTTATTTGCCTTGCTTTTCTTTTCTGCTTAAATCTCGTGAAACTTAATTACCATTGCTTTCTATAAACCAATTAACTGCTCTCACCTTTCTTATTTAGCACTAATGGTGTTTTGTTTTGTGAGCCACAGTAACCAGTACCAGTGTTACTGTGGCTGGCCCTGAGATTTACTCTGTTGTGTGGGCACTCCATAACCTATGGACTACATGGAGACTCTTCTGAGTGGGGATCCTCCTTGCAGACCCATGAGCAAATACGTTTCCCTCAGGTGAAGGTCATGTAACAGCAGTACAGAACATTCTCAGGAGCCTCAGTGTCTGTCTCCAGGTGGTCCCTAGATAATTATAAGCAAGCTCTAGCACCTGCAAGGCTCCAGATGCAGAACTGATTTCCACTGGTGATGGTTGTTGGTGGCTTTCATTCTGGAACATCCTCAGCAGCATTGGTGGCTCTGAAGCTGCCCTCACTGATGAATCTTTGCTTCAGAACAAAACATAGATTATGGATGGGGTAAAGCCCCAACAGTTTGCAAAGCAGCCTGATTGTTTTCCATACCCAAGAGGGGCAGGCTGAAGATGTAGGAAGTTATTTTCCAGAAGTGGAGCATTTCCATATCCATCCCCCCAACTGCCCCAGCCCTGATCCTGCTGTTGTTATCATACCAAACAGAATAAGAGGGAAAATCTTCATGGCAGCGCAAACAGACAGAGCAAAAGATGCCAGACAGGAAAGGAGGTCTGGAGAGAGGAAAGTTCCTGAACAACAAGCGGGGGACAATTTCTCTGTGTCGCCAGGATGCAGATTTTCTGATTCAGTTCTGTGACTTAAATGAAATTTAAGCTGTTTGAACTCATTCTGGTCGTATTAGTTTTGCCACCACAGGGTGTCTCTGCATCTCTTCTAACACCAGAGGCTTTGGTGGCCTTTAATGGCAGTCTGCAAACTCCACGGAACGTGGGGCTAAAGGAAATGTCCCCCAGGTCAGCTGTGGATTTTCCTCAGGATCATGAGCCTTCTTGGACTGGAATGGCGATGCCTTCATTAGCTGGTAGGAAATTCTATTTTTAGCAGCTGTGCAATGATGGTGTTTAATTTGGTTTAGAGAACTCTCTGGTACTGCTCTGGAGGAAGTCATGGCCAGATGATGTGGGGCACTGCTGCAGCTTCAGCTCATTCTGCCCGGTGCTCACAAGGTCTGAGGTGTTTTCCCTGTAGTGGAACACTTCTGCTAATTTCTGATTTCTAATTTTCCTGACTGCCATTTCACCTTTATGCTTGTGTGGGTATTTTCTGTTCCCCTTCAATCAGGAAAAAGCTGCCGTGGGGTCATCACAAACACTGTATCATTTGCTCTGGATAGTTTGTATAATAAAACATTTCAATAGGTTGGGTTTGGAGTCTTCCAGTTTTTTGATTTGGTGGGGTTTTTTTTGTTTCCCTTTTTTTTTTTTTTTTTTTTTTTTTTTTTTTTTTTTTTTTTTTTTTTTGGTTTTGTTGTTGTTTTGGTTTTGGGGGTTTTCTGGGGTGTTTTTTTGGATTTTTTTAATTTTTGGTTTTTTGTTTTTCGTTGGTTGGGTTTTTTGTTTTTTTGGGTTTTTTTGGTTTTTTTTTTTTTTTGGTGTTTGTTTTTGTTGTTGTTTTGATTTTGGGGGTTTTCTGGTTTTGTTTTTTTTTTTTTTATTTTTTTAATTTTTGGTTTTTTGTTTTTCGTTGGTTGGGTTTTTTGTTTTTTTGGGTTTTTTTGGTTTTTTTTTTGTTTGTTTTTTTGGTTTTTTGGGTTTTTTTGAGACATCTAGCACCAGCACTTGTTCTACCCTCCATGTAATAATGACTGGAAGTGAGACCACAGAAGGGCAGACAGGTCTGGTGGAAGGTCTCTCTGTCCCAGAAGCTCCTGGCCTCACAAGCTAGGCATGACTTATCACTTTCTCAATATTCAGGTGTGGCTTGGATTTGAAGATGAAGGTGAGAATGTCCCTGGTAGCAGGTGGTGCCTGTGTTGGTGCCAGCCTGAGTGTGAGTGCTGCTGCGGCATCACACAAATAATCATATAAATCTATCATATAAACAATCATATATATAACATATTATATAAATGTATCTTTGTCTAGGATGTCTGAAAAGTAAACTCTCCTCTGGAGGGAGGAGTTGTGGAGGAATTCCAGACGAGAAGTGCTGAGCTGAGTAATCTGTGGGTGGATAAAGCTTGAAGGTAGTTGGGAATCTCCTGATTGTCATCAGGGTGTACCAATTGGTTGAAACTCCATCTTTACATAGAGAAAATACAGTTTGAAGTGTTTTCTACTTCCTTCAGGAAAAGTTTCCATGGCCAAGCTCTCATGAGTGTGATATGTGAGCAAAAAACCTAAGGCTTGAAGTGCTGCCCAAAGTGACATTTATTCATTTATGCAGATAATTGGCTCCAGCACAAGAGGCAGAATGCAGTGGCAGGAGGTGTGAGGAGTCTCTAATGCAGTGAGCAAGCTCTCAGGCAGCAGAGGAGAAGGGAGGGGGGTTCCTGTGACTGTCACTCTGAGAGTTCCATAGTTCCCCAAGGAGCTGGGTCCCTTCTGAGCTGAGAGCCCATGGCTTACATCTGAGTCAGGCTGTGGTAACACCCAAGCCTGGATTTGGGCAATAGCTGAGTGTCCTGATGTCTGTGGGTGATGTCACATTCCCTGACTACATTCTGCATTAAAATACTGCTGGTTGATAACAAGCTGAGAAATGGAGATTGATGCCTTGCTCAGCCCCAGTAGCTGTGGTGCTTTTGCCTATTGCTTTGAGGAACAATTCACCTTTTCTTAGATTTCCACATCAGAAAACATAGATTTGATCTGATGACCCCAAGATTTGAGGTCCAGGTACCTAGCAAAGCTACTTGCCTTACCCACATGCCTGGTTTGAATGGCCAGTGCTGGCTGCCACTGACACCCAGGGAAAATTAGTGAAGGCAGCGACAGGTGAAGCATCTTTTTACAAGTGAACAAGGTACCGTTGAGGCAGCAGTGTTAAATGCCACTTCTTGAAAAACCATGCTGACTTTCTTATTCCTTCCTCTGTTTAGAGCATGTGAAGGCCTTGGTTTGAATGCAGAGGAACATGTGCTGTTTCAGAGTTTCAGTTCTGCACAGGGGAATGGGCATGCCAGGGAGGTGCTGATGTTCATGGAGGGTGAGGCTGGATGCCTGGATCGAGGGTGAGTGTGAGGTGACGTCTAAGCCAGAAGCAAGGGCTGTACTTCCTCTGAGACACAACCTTTCCAGAACCAGTGCTTGATCTGGTAGCTTATCTGTCTCTGGATTTGCTCTGTGGGTTTTCATCCACAAGTGGATGAAACGACACGCACGACAGCGTGCGATCGACCGGCAGCACCTTCCGTCATTCTCTTCCTTTTAAAGACGTTTCTTTCTAGCGAGGAGGCAGAAAGAGGGTGGTTAGAGCAACCCGCAGCGGTTTCCACCTGTCCCCCCGGCTGCGGGCCGCAGCGAGCCCCTCCGCTGGCCGCGCCCGGTGCTGTGCCCGGCGCTGTGCCCGGCGCTGTGCCCGGCGCTGTGCCCGGTGCTGTGTTCGGCGCTGTGCCCGGCGCTGTGCCCGGCGCTGTGCCCGGTGCTGTGCCCGGCGCTCTGCCCGGCGCTGTGCCCGGTGCTGTGCCCGGCGCTGTGCCCGGCGCTGCTGGCTGCGGGACCGCGGCCGCGGGCAGCAGCGTGTGCAGGGGCGCTCCCAGCCTCGCCCTGCTCCCCGCCTGTGATGCGAGGCGCAGGCATGCTCAGTAGCCGGTGCCTACCCCTCCTCTCCCCACAACAGTGCCTGCCACAGTAGGAGCCGGCTGGCGGCAGGCGCGGAGCCGAAAGCCATCTTTGCCGGAGAGGGAGCCAGCGCAGCCCGCTCGACCCCGCTCGCCATGTGAGTACCGCCGGAGGGCTGCGGGGAGCCGGGCACCCTGCTGGCCCTCCCGCAGCGCTCCGGGCCACTGCTGCCGCCGGGGGTGGACACGGAGCGGGGGATGGACATGGGCCGGGGGTGGACACGGACGCGGCCGGGGATGGACAAGGACCGGGGGATGGACACGGACCGGGGGTGGCCACGGCCGGGGATGGACACGGACCGGGGGATGGACACGGCCGGGGGATGGACACGGCCGGGGGATGGACACGGACCGGGATGGACACGGACCGGGGGATGGACACGGACCGGGGGATGGACACGGCCGGGGATGGACACGGTCGGGGATGGACACGGCCGGGGGATGGACACGGACCGGGATGGACACGGACCGGGGGATGGACACGGCCGGGGATGGACACGGTCGGGGATGGACACGGCCGGGGATGGACACGGACGCGGCTGCCAGGGCGGGGGCTCGGCAGGTGCCGCGCTCGGAGCTGCGGCAGCACCGCCCGTCCGACCCGCTGCTGCTGCTGCTGCTGCACCTGAGCGCACGGATGGGCTCTCTCCGTGTTTATCCAACAGCCCGGGGGTTTCTGCCACCTTTCTAATCGGATTCATGCTGAAAAGGGAAGGCTGGGCCAAGATCTTCAACAGGTTCGAGGCAGGGTGGTTCAATAGCATGAGTCACCAGCGCCGCCGCTCCGCGGCACACGGGTCCTGTTTGCGTTCCGTGTTTAATGAAATGCTCTCGCAGACGGCTGCTGTCTGATCAGGGCAGCCTCACCTTCTCCAGTGCCAATGGCTTCCTGTCAGCAGTGCTTGACAGTAACCTGTTCCTTCTTGTTCCTATCTCTCCGAATACTGTTCCAAGTTTTCACATGGAGCATTAATGGAAGCATTAGTGTTCTCTGCTAGGCAGCGATGAAACCCCTGAAGTCCATCCTGAAACCAGAAGTGTGCTGAGGTAAATAGGAATTGATCAGACCCCTTTTCTTTCACAAAGGATTCAGGCAGCTGAATGCATCATTTTACCTCAATCCGTTGCTCATTCCCAGTGACCCTTAAGGGAGAGCCCAGGAAGATGTCTCAAACAGGCAGTCATTTGTGCTCGTACTGGGTGATCCTGTAGGAACTGGAACTTGGTTGATTCAGGGAACATGAGGAGTGCAGCCTGTCTTGGAAATCTGTGATTAAATTGCTTTAAAAATATTTCCAAAAACCAACTGTTCTTCAGGAGGCATTTTCAAAATAGAGTCTACAATCACATATTCTGAAATGTTAGCTTTTGTCTTTAATGCTGTTTCCTATATAATATCTCAGACAAGAAGCTTTTGTTCATTTGTCCAAAATACTTCTAAAGCAAGGAACTCCTTGGAATTCAAAAAAGCCACTTTCTAATAGAAGATTCTTTATGCAAACACCGAAGCCTGCCAGTTAAAGCCAGTTCATGGTAGGCTGCTGTTGCCTGGCTGTGTTTCTGTTGAGCCAGATGATGACATCAAACCCTTTTATTTGTACGTGAGCTGTTCTTCAATGATTAATATATGAGTTTGCTTCTGCAGTTTTGTACGGTCTGAGCTGTTCTGACGCTAAGCAATAATCAGATTATGTTTAACATAACCTGTGCGTGTTTCAGTCTTGGTGCAGGCAGGTTTTTATGAGACTATTTGTAAATGAAGTAGAAAGGGTGATACTGATATAACTTGGTCATATTTCTTCTGTAGGGGCTTTACATCAGACTGCTGACAAAAATTAGAGGAAAATGGGAAAGCAGTTTTTGTCTAATTTAGCCAAATGGACTTTCAGTTTGATAATTGAAAGAAAACCAAGACAAACGAGCACCTTGTCATTGGCAGTGTCAGTTGGCTTCTGTTTCGCTGCCAGACGTTGTAATGAAACCCTTCCTTTGAACATGTCCATGGATGTCGTGCTGAGCTGCTGATGAACCCCAGAGGTGAGTGTGGGTTGGCTCCTGCCTTGCAGCAGCAGCTGGGCTTGCCTGGCTATCAGAGCCAGCTGCTGCTGAGCACCAAATGCTCTCTGCAGGTCCCTTCTCTTGCTGTGCCACCTGTGGGAGTGCTGGGCTCCTCCTGTGCCTGTCCAGACCTGCAGTGACACTCACGGTGCTGACTTCACTGCTGGGATGAAGATGTGCCCTGGGCCAGGTGCCAGCCCCACCCAGCCCTGTGCTGTCCCCTGCAGCAGCTTGCAGGGTTTGCTCAGGGAAGGTACAGGGCTGTGCTGAGCTATTCCCAGGATGCTTTCCCAGTTTCCAGCTTAGGAAAAGGTCTCCAGCTTGGGGAGCGTCTGAGCCTCGGGGGAGTTCTTTGTATTTCATGTTTCTTTGTATTTCATTTTTCTTGGTGGGCTTTGTTCTCTCAGTAAGGTGTCCAGTTGCTCAGTTTGCAGTGTCCTGGGGTGAGGAGCTCTGCAGTGTGTGGAAGCAGCTCCCTGTTGGTTTGGAGCTGACATGGAGCAGGTTCTGCCTTATGTCACTCTTGTTTTGGAAACCAGAGAACAGTGTTCCTTATTCACCATGTTTTCTGTGGCCCGTGGTTGTGTGTCCCCCCAGCAGAGCTGTGTGATCCATGTTACGTGGGAATCTGTCCCCGTGGCCTCTCCCAGTGAGCACCCAGGGCAGGTGAGATCCATTCAGGTAACACAACTTCCACCTTTATGCAGGCAGAGGAGGGGAAGCTGTTACAGCAATGAAATGAAATGAAAGGAGAAGGACAGAAAAGGTATTTAAAGCAAGAACTGAGAAAGGTTAGACCTGCCAGTAGAGCTGGGAAAGTTGTTCCAGGTGTGAGGAAGAGCACACAAACTCCTTTGGAGGAGCTGTGAGAAGCAGTGAAGGACAAAATGGTGCTCAGAGTTGAGGTGCTCCTGGGCTTTGTTCCTTGCTGGAAAACAGGCCAAGAGCAGAGGGTGAAGTGGTGGTTTTGTCTCGTTTGCAATGGTCACAGCTCCATGGGTAATTCCACACGATAGCAGCTCAAGGCATCATGTCATCTGCTGTTCAGCCAGGTCAGTGACCAGACTGCAGGGTGCCTCTGATTGCATTAATGCAGTACCAAGGGCTCCATTGCAGGGGACACCATCTGTGAGACAGCAGCAAAGCACCTGGCTCCCCCCGGGGCAAAATCCGCTCTCCTTCCCCAGGCAGCAGTTAGAGCTTCTTAAAAAAATTATTCTTGTGCCTGTTTTAGAGCAGCAGGGAGGGGATGGGTGGGATTAAAATGGTTCCAGCAGTAGCAGTGAGTCTGTTCTGGTTGAATGTCTGTTTGGTTTCTCTGAGAAGAATGCCATGACTATTGTCTCCTGTTGTTTGTAGAGCAGTATTTAGCCCTGCTTTTGTGGGCATCATTTTATAAACCTTGTCAAAATCTCCCTGCCCTTTTCTTGTACTAATCAGCAGAGAGAAACCATTGAGTATAATCCTCTTCACAGTCCTGATCCACTGTTTGCAGGGAGTTCAGTGCCTTACAGAAGTGCATTCAGCCAGGGCATGTCCTGGGAAGGTCCAACAAGCACGAAATGGAGGGATACACCTTCAGCGTGGTCCACGCTGGGTCTGTGTTCCCTCAGAAATGTGTTCCACAAGAGCTCTGTGGATCCAGTGTGCAGGAGGATGGGAGTCCCTTGGAGCTCTCAGGGTTTCATACCTGGTGGCCAGCAGCCTCAGAGCCAGCCAAGGTCAGGAGTGACATTTGCTGGAATTCTGCCTCCTGCTGCAGCCAGCCAGAGGGACTGAGGGCTTGAGACTGGTTCACACAACCATGGCTGTGGAGCTGCTCTTTTCATCTAGGGGACATAAAGGAGCTTGCAGTGAAAATAACCAGGCTGTTCTCAGAGCAGCAGGGCTGTGTGCATTGCAGAAGGATGTTGAGAAGTGGGAAGCAGCCCATTCTCAGCACAGTTCTGTCCTGACCCCTGTGCTGCTTCTGAGGCTCACAGCTCTTGGGAAGAGCCTTGAAGTCAGGGTGTGAGGAGTAGGAGCTGCTGCTTAGTCTGCTGCCTGGAGACATCACCAGGGGGATTCAGGTGTTTTATTCATTGCTGGCTTCCCTGACTTGCTCTCACGTGGCGTCATGCAGACGGATCAGCTTCATGTATTGCAATAGAAATAAATGCTTCCAGCTCACATGAAGTGTTGTTCCTGATACACTCAGCTTGCCCTTAGAAGTAAGGGTGGCCCAAGTAGGTCATAAATCTTTTGGATGTTTGGGTGATGAGTGTTTGGAAGTGTAGAGATCAAACTGTGTGGTGTCTTGAGGGCTCAGCCAAGGAAGTAATCTCAGAAAGGGAGCTAATGGGAAGGATATGTGACAAGTACAGTATTATGCAAGTATTATGTGTTCTAATAAACATTCTTCCAAACAGGCTAATAGGAAGCAGATGATACCCAAATACATGTAGTTTGGAGGTCACTTTCCTTAGCTCTCCTTCGTTCTGCTGTGCATCACCACAGCTTGTTCCCCTTGACTCCCAGCATTTCTCACAGATAGCTCCAGCTGTGGAGTGACTCACAGGACACTGAGAGTGGCTGCAGCAGCAGATGAATTGGTCTGGCAAAGGAACACTTCTCCTTCTTCAGGAACTATTTCCATAATTAATGTCTTCCTGAAGAATCAGTGATCAGGCTGTGGAGCACCAGGCAAAGCCACGTTTGTGTGCAGGTGTGTAGAGAATGTTCCTGGGTGGGGGGTGAACAGGCTGAGGGGAGGAGAGGAATGGCTTCCATGTTCTCCCTCTCCTTGACTGCTGCTGGGCTTTCTACCAAGTGGCCACATCCAGGGAAAAAGGATGGAAGGCAGGAAAAAAGAGGGAGCAGCCAGTCCAACAACCATCAGTACTGTGCATTCGAGTCATTAATCACCAGACAGAGAAATCAGAAGTCCTGCGCACCGGTGTGCTCCTCTGGCACGGTTTGTGGGTGCAGAGCCCGTGGGAGCTGCTCCCTGGGAGCCCCAGCCAAGGGTGCCCAGCTGCAGCAGGGCAGCACAGGCAGGCACCAGCGAGCTCAGGCTGACCAGGCTGTCTGCTGTAAGCAGTTACAGCTCAGAGGGAGAATGTGCTCTCTCCTACGTCATTCAGCACTCTCTGCTGTCATTATTCCTGGCCATTACCTGCAATTAACCGGCCTGGCTTTCTCTAATGATGCAATTCCTTTTTCCCGTGTCTGTGGCTGAGCACTCTAAACCCCTTTGCATTATTCACTGCAGAAGCATCAAGTGATTGCAAGGTGGGGTTTTTTCAACTGCTCAGCTGTGACAGCCTCATGTTTTTTCAGTGTAAATTAGTGAGTAACTCATTGAAATAGAGCTGTCTGTACCTTTGCAAGTGTTTTGTTGGTTGCAGTTCTATTGCTGCTTCTGTACTGGGTGATATATTTAGAATGGAGGTTTCTGACCAAATAATCTGAATGATGTGATCCAGTTCCCTGATATTTTCAGGTGAAAAATTGAATAAGAAAAATAAAAGTACTTATATTTCAGAATAAATGAGAGAAAAATTTCATTTATCATGTGTTTTAACTTGCACCTGGACTCAGTATCACAGCATCAAAAGAGAGCTCTTCTGGAAAGTAGAGATTCTCCTATGATCACCTTTTAGAAGATAAACCCCATAACATTTCAGGAGTTGTGTTTTGTTTAGTTTGGTTTTTGATTTTTCTTACAGTACATTCTCATCTTTCTCATCTCTCTCACTGCACTCAGTGCACTTTCAGTGTGAGCCAGGAGATGTGTGGTGATGCTTTCCAGCACGTGGGCACTGCATGTTGGGAAGCACCAGGGAGCTGAAAGT